TTTTTTAACATTAACTTTATACAAATTTTATTTTAATATATAAATGATAAAATTTCTTAAACGTTGTATAAGAAAATATTTATTTATTATTTATATACTTTGTAAAAATTTCTTCTAAAGTTGATGTTGATGTTTAAAAGTTCAAAAAATTAAAGGAAGATATCTGTACCAAAAAAAAAAAAATTAAAGGAAGATATAATCTTTTTTAAGAAGAAAAAACTAATTGATTTATGCAACATGAATTTTTTTCTTAAAAAAGTAACAAAAATAATAATTAAATAATGATTTATGCATATTTTAATTTAATACATTTGATAATATATTTATTAAAAAAGTATTATTTTTATATTTAAATTTAAAAAATTTTACTTAAAAAATTAAATAGTTAAACTAATAAATATTGATAAATATATTTATAAAAAAAAAACCCACTCATTACCAATGTCACCTATGGGCGGCGGTTTATTGGACCACAGATTTGAATACTTGAAAGTTGAAAATGAGTGGGAAATTATTTTATGGCATTTTGGTACCTTGAAAGACAGTTGTCGACAGCATAAACGATTGAAACTTCAATTTTAATATAATTAAAAAATTTTAAATTAATTTTAATTTATTAAATAATAAATATGAGTTATTTTATTATTTATTAACTATTCTTAACAATGAAATAGATAAAATTAATAATTTTTTACACAATTTTAATAAGTTTAACAAATGAACTAATATTCATAACTAAATCCACCTTAAATAGGTATACACGAATTATGTAGGATTTTTCTAATAGAAAAAGTCCATTATAAAAATGTCTCGGTAGATTGTACGAATCATTGTAAGAAGAATTCAACAATGTTGTATGTTAGATATTTTCTATAAAAATAATATAATCATTTGATGTCTGTTTTTTTTTTTTTTTTCCGTGATTGGCAAAAGAAAAAATTCATTAACCATGAATACCTGAAGTACCCATTTCAATACAAGAAATAATGACTGGTGTTTTTTTTAATTGAATATATTTATTAAAAAATTATTATTTTTAAATTTAAATTTTTTAAAAAAATTTACTTATAAAATTTAATTGTTAAATTAATAAATATTGATAAATATATTAAACAAAACCTATCATTTTCCCAATACAAACATCAATACGAAAGTTCAGAATTGAAAAGAACTCAAACAAAACTCATCGACCATTATATAACACTATGCATAAACAAAACACCAACAACTTCTCCTCGTTGGCTGCCCAGTAATCAAACAAGCCAGGGCTATAAGAAACACAAACTAAACCCATACCAGTTTCACTTTGGAACGCCGTGCATGCTTTCCTGGGTGTTCTAACCCAGGTGTAACTCTAGCCAAACATTTGCTTTAGTAAAGAAAAATATCTAAATTTGATTAGGTCAACTACCCCATCAAAGGAAATCAACTACTTTGGAAGATCATTTGGTTCCGCCACAGGCATATCGACCAAACAATTGCCGACCAAACCACTGACCAAACTTAATTTGACAGCCCTTTTGAGACCAATCCGATTTATTGATACAAATTAAATGCTTCCGTCCTTCATCCTGTCACACCATATAAATAAGACCCCACCACCTGTAACTCGATGCCGACATTGAACAATGAAGTTTTGTAGATGAATAGATAGGACCTCTCTTTCTGTTGTCCACAGAAAGCACGTGCTGTGCCATTATTGATCTGATGATGCCATCAATTT